AAGAGAAGAGAGGCGAGAGAGGCGATGAGAGAAAAAGAAAAGAAGGCGAGAGAGCGAGAGAGAGAGAGAGCAGAGAGAGAAGAGAGGAGAGAGAGAGAGGAGAGAAGATAGAGAGAGAGAGACGATAGAGAGAGACTTCACGCGGTGGCAGCACGTCCAGCAGACAGGGTTTTTGAAGAAAGCAGATCGGCACACAACCCTGTGCGCCGCACGCACAGTATCGCTGGACCTGCGCGTGGCTGACGTGTAGGGACGTCGCAGCCTGGACACCGGTTCTAGACAACCACTCGATCGACGACAGCTGACGGCGGACGAGCGGCCGTCGCACCTGCCAGATAATGCGACGCCGTTACTGTATGTGACCAAAATCCAAAAGAATTTCTACCTCAAGTGCGTCGAGAAAGATCACACTCGAAAAGTTAACTTTGCAGTAAAGAAATCTAAAAATTTTCTTCCATAAAAGTCACAGTCATAAATTCACTTTCAGTGGAGTTTCGAAGGTTACTGGTAGGATCTGCCCAGAGTCTATAGCAGTTACTTATGCTGAGAGGGTCTATGCCCCCCGGGGTACTGCCGGAACGTACCCTGGGTACGGTCCGGTATACCGGAACGTACCCTGGTACTATTTAATATGCCAGACCGTACCTCGCCTACTCCACTAACGAGTCTAGGGAGTCGCCTACGCCTAACCCTAACCCTAACCCGAACCCGAACCCTAACCCTAACCCTAACCCTAACCCTAATCCTAACCCTAACCATATCAAACCATACCGTACCCAGGGTACGTTCCGGCAGTACCCTAGGGGACATACACCCTATGAGCGCTACTTATAGCTGCAAGTTCACGTGCTGTTCGTCTCATTTGGTAGATTTGGCAAGGTAATAAGGTTTATAAGTAATGAAAACGCTTTTTTCCTTTCATACTTTTCTACTGGAAAATTACGTAATTACTTTCACTTTCGTAAAAAGCAAATAAGCATGACCCCAATCTAAATAACACCTTTATTAATTTTATTAGAATACTGTAACTACTACTATTGCTGCTGCTTCTGCTATTGCTACTGCTATTATTATTATTATTATTATTATTATTATTATTATTATTATTATTATTATCATTATTATTATTACTATACTACTATTATAATTATTATTAGTAGTAGTAGTATTACCACACTCGCCTTGCTGGGAGCAGGGGAGGCAATAGGCGTTGACGCAGTCATGCTTCTAGCAAAGTCCGCTATAACGATCTCCTACACAAATGGTATAAACAATTACTAGAAACTTATATATATATCTCGGCAAAAAAACTCGCGAAATAATCGTACCAATTAGAATTTAGGAGAAGCATTACATATATAATATATTATATATAATATATATATATATATATAATATCATATCACGCTCTCCTGCTATTACGGGTGATATATCGGGTAGCAGTTGAACATGTACTATAACCAGGTGTATAATAACCACCCAGGCTACTTATGGCGCTTGGCAAGAGCGAACCTAGCGCTAGAACTATAGCTCTCCTAGGGCTATAGTTCTCTAGAGCTAGAGCGAGCCTCGCTGTTCATACAGTGTAGAATGCTGGCACTGCTGGCTCGACTCACCGCATCCTCGTCTGTAGTTTCTGTGTCCGTGCGTTCCCTAGCAATCGTCGCCCGTCCGCTCGTCTCCTCCATCTCCGCTTCGTTCTTCGCCGTGCGTCTGTGTGCGTACGTTTCTCTCTCTTTCTCTCTCTCTCTCTCTCTCTCTCTCTCTCCTCTCTCCTCCTCTCNATCGGTATAAATAAAACTTTTAAAGATTTATAGTCGTTGTTGAAAGTTAAGATATCTGAATCGTTAACGTTACCGGTATTAACACCATACAAGAACCACGATTGTTTATTGCAGCACCTACTTGAACTCCGGACAAGCAGGTGTTGAAAGTTATAATATACGGACTATTATGGGTATGCACCAGGTATGATAGAAGAACCAGGACAGTTTATTGCAGCTGCTGGAACACCGGATGGTCGAGGGCAAACTGCCGTTATATTGATAATGAGGAATACAGAAATTGAAAATACAGTTTGTAAATGTATGCGTATACGTGATTATATGGGGGCACGGACCGATGCACGGACATGCAGGGCGTATTATAACTGACGCATTCTACGTCTAGTGCTAGAATGTAACGTTGACCAGCTAATAATCGCGTTTATTTAATAATAGTATATTATATTATTTATATATATTACTATTTAAATTGATAGGCCTATATAATTATACAGGCCTATTTCTGGTTTTATTACATCTTTATGCATGGTTATTAAGATTGGAGATATGAGGAATACTGGAAATAATTCAGGCGCTACACAGATTATTATTCAACGGATATCTGTTCTCTGATTTCTTCCTATCTATTCTAAGGAGCAATGATAATAGGAATCCTGTAGTAGGCAGCGCAATACACAAGAGGAGTATTTGCACAGGGACTGTACATCTTCGCAGCATTGTACACAAAAGAGTCGATAGATGGCAGTACGAGACGTGAAGTCACACGTTAAGATGAGTTTTATGTATTAAAAAAAATATTGGCCACAATATCAACAAAAAAGTGAACAAAATCACACAAATCTTCAACGATTAAATGAACCCCATATTCCTTAAGATAATTACAGAGAACGGTTTTTAATTTTCACACAATAAAGGCCAACCGTACACGCGCCCACACGCACGCAGACTCATTCACTCACGCCCGCATACACGCATGCATGCACGCGCGCACACACGCACGCGCGCACACACACACACACACACACACACACACACACACACACACACACACACACACACACACACACACACACACACACGTGTTATATAGGTAAATAGGTGACTAACACCCACCATCGCAGCGCTGCCGACTCATGACTCGATGTTTCTGCCTCTTTCTCTATCTCTCTCTTCTCGCTCCCTCTCTCCCCCTTTCCCTCTCTCTCTCTCTTCTCGCGCTCTCTTCTCGCTCCCTCTCTCCCCCTTTCCCTCTCTCTCTCTCTTCTCGCGCTCTCTTCTCGCTCCCTCTCTCCCCCTTTCCCTCTTTCTATCTCTACATTTCTCCCCTTTCTCTCGCGCGCGCGTGTAAGTGTGTGTTTTGTGTGTGCGCGCGTGCATGTAAGTGCGCGTTTGTGTGTGCGCGCGTGCATGACAAGGTTTTAAACAACATTGCCACGATTGATTATGCATTCATTCTGAACCAATCCCAATCATTTGCACGTCACATGCCACGCCTCGTCCAATCAGAACGCTCTGCTGCCTCCGCGCAGACGAGAGGGTGGGGCATACTTCCAAACGTGGAGAATCACTAACCCGGCCTCTCACAAATCCCCGCCAAGCACTTCGCCGCATCAACCTACGCGCTCCATCTACACACACACCCACCCTCACCCACCTACACACACGTACTCACACAC